TTTAAAAGTTCCCAAAAGAAAGTAAGGGGATGACATGTGTTAAGTTAATAACTAAAGGGTTTTAATAGTGTTAGCTTGATATATTTATTTCCTGATACAAAACTATTTTCTTATCATAGGTTTTTACTATTTATGTGATGTTGGATATACAAATGGAGAGGGATTTTGAACTCCATATAAAGGTGAACGATATCATTTTAATGAATGGAGGTAAAATCAAACTCCTCGATCAAAAGAAGAATTGTTTAATTACAAACACTCTAGTGTTAGAAAAGTTATTAAGAGATGTTTCAGATTTCTTAAGATAAGATGGGCAATACTTAAGGAGAGGTCTTGGTATCTAGTGAAAACCAAACGCAGAATTATATTAGCTCGTGCTTTGTTACACAATCATATTAAAAAGGAGATGACACACGATCCACTTGAGGTTGAATTCAATTAGGTATATGTCGAACTAATAAAATTGAAAAATACAGATATAATACAATACATTAAGAGCTCAAATGAATGGAATAATTGAAGAACTAACTTGGCAGAAGAAATGTATGATGACTGGTTACCTTCTGGAAATGACACATAACGTAACAGTATATTTTTGTCATTGTAATTATTAGATGTTATGTTTAAGGTTTAGGGTTTAATGTTGCTAGCCTTGATTATGTTATGGGGCAATGATTGCATAGAGGTGGGCATATTTTGCATAAATTGTGTGTTGACGGGTTTAGGGTTCTTGCATTTTTTATGTGAAGGGGTGTGAAGTTTTTATTGTATACAATTCCATCTCTCATGTACAAAGAGCAGCTATTAACATTTTGTTACTATAGATGGAAAGAACATCAACTCAAGGATCACAAAAGGCAAATAAGAAATCCACCCATCAGTGGACTCTTCTTAAAGATGCAATTCTAATTGATTGTTACTCGGATCTTGTGAATGTTGGTGGTTGGCCTAAAGTTAATTGGACTTTTAAGCTTGGTTACTTGCAACAACTTGAGAAATTGATGGCTGAAAAGATCACAAGTTGTCAAATTAGAGGCATCCCACATATACAATCCAAAATGTGGTTACTAAAGTCATAATATAAGGAAGTTGCTGAAATGCTAGGCCATTATGCTTCTGTCTTTGGGTGGGATGACGTGAACAAATGTGTCACTTGTGAAACTAACATTTGAAATGGATGGGTGAAGGTAAGTCAACATGGGTGTCATCAAATATTTCCTTGTTATTTATGTCACTCTCATGTGCTTAATATTGATTTTGATGTATACGATTATTTACTTATTTTCATTAATGTTTAGTTTGATATTGAATTGTAGGGTCATCCAACTATTGCAAGACTTAGAAATAAGCCTTTTCCACATTTTGATAAGTTAGCAATTATATTTGACAAAGAGAGGGCAACTGGAGCAAGAGCAGAGGCACCGGCAGATGTCGTGGAGAACATAGAATCTAAGGAAGCAGCAACAAGGGCAATTTCAAATGCATTCAATGGATTGGGTTGTGAACATGAAGACGATGATGCGAACTTTGTCAACATTCCAAAGACTTTGGCAAGTACTTAACCTGACAATGCCAAAATTGAAATGTCCATTGTTACAATAAGAAAGAATTCAGTGTTGCTTGAGGTAAATTCGATTTGAAAAAAAATCTAAAACCAAATTTGGTAATAGTAGTCATGAAGAGTTGGCATTTTGTAACAATATAAGTGATTTGAAGGATGTTTGTCAAGCTGCAACTACTGAAATTGGTAACTCAGCCCCGTGTTTTAAACACATGGCTATTGAAGATAACAAGACGATGAAGGTTTTTTATATCTGTAAGGGATTTGAAAGTCTTCAAGGGTTGACCCGTGATGATGTTATAACGATTGGAGAAATTATTTGCACTGACCAAAAGAAGGTTAATTACTTCTACAGCACGTCAAAGGAATATAACATCTTTTATGTGAAAAGAGTGCTTAGGCTTAGTGGCTCATCAATGTAGAGTAATTAGACTAGACAACTAGTTATTAGTTTATTAATATTAACCTTTTTTTGGTTGTCATTAAGTCGGAATTGATGTTTGTTAATATTTGCAATTTCAAGGTTGTTTGTTGTAAACAATACTTGGTGTTTGAGTGGATGTTAATATATTAGGAACTATTGAACTTTTGTTTCAATCTTCCTATTTGAAGTTTAGATCCTTAAGTTTATGGTATTTTCTTGGGTTAGATCTTTATATTTAAAAATGTAAACAGTATAATATTGTATAGGGAAAAGAATTAACAGCAAATAAACATGGACGAAGTTATTTATATGGGGTTGTTTACCATCTATTGATAGATATGTAATCCATCGATAGATGTTTTTTAAACATCTATAAAATATGAGTAGCTCTATTGATAGATTAATAAATATATCAATATATTTTCATAAGAGTCCTTTATCTATCGATAGTCCCAAAAATATTGATAGCTACTGTGCCACCCTTGTTCCTGATTGATCATCTATCGATAGATAAATGATGTCTATCGATAGATGCATGATGTGCTATGCTACCCTCTGCGAACCTACCGATAAATGTTGTCATCCATCGATAGCTACTAGGGTTGTCTTGCTCCCGAGTGAAGAACTATTGATAGATACCTACATCTATTAATGGTTTCACAAAAGCTTTCCGAAGCTATAGATAGATGTTGTCATCTATTGATAGCTATCGGGGATGTCTTACTCCCGAATGAAAAATTATTGATAGATGTTGTGATCTATCGATAGGTGAATGAGGTATTATAAAATACTCTAACATTATATCAATATATTCAAGAATCTATCGATAGATGATCATGGTTTATTAGGTATTACACCTTTACAATATGAATATATCGATAGATGTTCTTAATCCATTGATAAAGAACTGAATATATCGATAAATGAGGACCCACTATCAATAAATTCATATTGTAAAAGGTTTAGGGTGCACATGGTTATTTGTTTTTCAAAAGCAATTAGAAAGAATTTATAAAGAACCAAGGGAAAAATTCTTCCCACTTACAATACATACAAAAACAACAGACACTCAAGCATACCCAAATAAGTTTAGAAGAAAAGCACAGCAACAATGCAACCCAAGAAAGTAGGAAACTCATTCATTTAAAGCAGTTTTTTTAAAATGCATTCATAGAATTTCATTCCAACAGTGGGAATAAAACATTCCCTAATATTACAAATAGTGAAGAAAGCATAACACTAAGTAGAAATATAGGTTGATATCCCTTTGACTATGGCATACCTCCCCAATATTTCCTCATAGAGACCCCTGCTCAGTTATATAAAAACCAAAAAAAAAATCTACAAATTTAGAACTCAAGATAACACCAAAACAAGAGAACTACCCTCTAAATTTGTACGATTCATTTTAGGATTCCTCACAAAAATATGCCCCTAAACCTATAAACAAAAATCAACTGATAAGATTAGAAACCAACATCCAGTTAAACCATAACAAAAAGGTCATAAGAAAAACAAAAAACACTTAATAAAGTGAAACAAACTCAATTTAAAGCATTAAAAGTAGCAATAGCTCAAAGTATACTAAATACATCTGAAAACATAGAAAAAACAAACATGTAGCTAAAGGTACAAATTAAAAATGTGTAAATACAACCAAAATCTGATGCACATGTAGCCATCGAATGGAATAGTCCAAAAACGGAGTAGAACAGATGTCTCTAGTGAGAACTCATGATGGTGGTGGAAATTAATAGCGAAATTGATTTTCCAAGTCTTTTTGGTGCTTCAACATCTCACGATTCTGCACCTCCAACAAATCCATATGGGCAATCAACCTAGAGTCTTGCGGATTATGATTTTTCTTTTGAATTTTTAGCAAATTTTTTTACCACAATTTCTTTTTTAGTATCTTTTTCAATTTCTTTTTCATCAGATTGAATTGAAATTTCTAAATTTAAATCCTTACTAGTTACCTCTTTACTTACCTTTTTTCCATTGCAAAGATGAATTGCTTTACAATGTTCCTTACCTTCTTTTCTTGGATTGGGTTTAGTATCACTTGTAAGGTACTATCAAGTCTAGCATTTAAAGAACTAACAAGTTGGCCCATTTATGTCTCAAGATTTCTAATTGAAGTTGCTTGATTTTGAACGGAGGCATCAGTCATTATCATAAATGCATCAATCATTATCATAAATGCATCAGTCTTTGTCATGAATTGCATGAGCATATCCTCCATTAAAAGCTTTTTCTCTGGTATAGGGGCTCTAGATGGAAATCTAGGAGGAAAGTTGGACTTAGCCGCTGAGGAAGACCCTTGGTTGTTATTCCATGACAAATTAGGATGATTCCTCCAACTAAGATTATAAGTGTTGGAATAAGGATTGTTTTGTTACCTATTTTCAACAAATTGACAAGACTCAAAATAGATGGGACAATTGTCATTGAAATGTCCTTTTCCACAAAATTCACATGTCATAAAAGAGTTCTGAACAGCATTAACACTTAATTTATCTATTTTCTTTGTGAGAGAAGCCATTTGTGTAGAGATAGTGTTTATCACATCTAATTCATGAATTCTAGCAAGTTTTCTTGTACCCAAACTTTCAAATGGCCATTGATAATTATTAGAAGCTATCTCTTCGAGCAAATCATAAGCCTCATCAATGGATTTACTTATAAGTGCACCTTCAGCGGCAGCATCAATGGTAGTTCGAAAAGGTTCTAGCAAACCATTATAAAAAGTTTGAACTTATAGCCACTTAAGTAATCCATGGTGAGGACATCTTCTAATCAAATCTTTATACCTCTCCCAAGCCTCATATAGTGATTCAAAATCAAATTGCATGAAAGAAGTGATATCATTCTGCATCTTTGCTAACTTTGCAGGTGGGAAGAATTTTGCTAAAAATTTTTGAATCAAATCATCCCAAGTATTAATAGAATCAGCCAAAAGCAAATTTAACCAACTCTTTACTTTATCTCTCAATGGAAAAGGGGAAAGCCTCAATCTTATGGCATCATCAGTAACACCATTAGCCTTGAATATATAGCAGATTTTCAAAAAATTTACAATATGAGCATTCGGATCATTATTGGGCAAACGCCCAAACTGATCAGTAGTCTGAATCATCTGAATGATTGAAGGCTTAATTTCAAAATTATTGCTTGAATAGGAAGTTTTCGGATACTAGAGTGGAGATTTTATACTTGAGGGACTGTATAATCCCTCAAAGGCTTAATCTCTTCCTCTTGTTGATCAGCTATTATTTTACTTGAAGCAGAAATTTTTTTATTTTTCTTTCAAAGTCTACGAAAAAGTTTTTTGAATTTTTGGATCAAAAGGAACAATTCCAAATTTCAGGCTCTTCACATATAATGACCAAAAGTGCCTGAAAAAGAAAAGAAAAGTCTAGATTAAAATTAAGAATGCTTGGAATTACAAGAAAGAATTAAAAATCAACTCTCCGGCAACGGCGCCAAAACCTTATTGTTCAATTTTCTACTCATGCAAAGATAATATAGAGATGAATAGAGTTTCAATCCCACAGAGAATTGAATTAATCTTTATTTTAACTACTAAAATTAACACACCTTAATTTTATCTAAATAATTAAAATTGAAAAGAAAGATTTGAAACAAATAAACTAATAATTAAAACTAAAACTAATCTAAAATCTATACAAATTTACTTTATTAAATGTGAATGACTACCAGACCTAACATTATGATATCTCTTAATATTTCATCTGAATCTTGTTTCTCTCTCTCTTAACCTAGTTTAATAAATCAAGTTACTAACCTAGAATCCGAAATTATTTACAAGTCTCTGTCGAGTTTCTTATAAAAATATCTTTTTCAATTAATTTACTATATATCTATGTAAATTATATTGAAGAAAGATTCAATAAGTTTATGCTCTAATTTTAGCTACGTATGATTTATAGGTGTATGTCTACCTTATATGCAAATCAAACCACCTAATCAACTAAGTGTATTCAATCATATGCTATTGTATTCAAAGTCTACTTAAATCTCCTTCGTCAAGGTTTAACTTAGGTTTTCAATTCAATCGAATTGATGGCCAGTCAATTAGAAGCATTGAGAACAGAATAAAATAAACAACTTAAATCTATCAAATATAAGTAAAAGAAAGATAAATAATTCAAACTACATATTGAGTTCAATCATAATTTTAGATTAAAAATTTAATTCCTTATCAAGTCACACATCATCATTAAATAAACTTTTAAACATTCAAATCGAACTAAAAAAAATAAAAAAAATAACAAAAAGATAAAAAAACTCAAGAATTATATTCTTGATCTCCAAATCTCCTTGAATCCTTCAAATTCTTCTTAGTTTTAATAATTTTGTAGCTTGACTCTCAGCTGCCAATCTGGTGTTTCTTCGTTCTCTCCTAAAGTCTTCCGAAAGGTTGTTTTTATAGGTTTTGAAGGTAGGCCAAGTTGGGTGGAAAAAAAAGTCCATGTCAGTTAGAATTTCCTCACCAAACCATGAAAGTCGTAGCCTTATCCAATTAATTAACAGAAATTGTAATTGCTCTAGGATTGCTACAATATGTCAACTTTGACAATATTTTTAACCACATTTCAGGTCGAACTGGTAAAGTATTAAGCATGAAAGTTATATCTTTTTCTCTTATCTTTCCAATGATCTAAGAATCGCTTCATTTGGAGCCTTGTAGAGAAAGTTATAGCCAAAATACCAAAATATGGGTAGTGAAAGTCTACACCTTGAAATTGCTCTCCTTCTTTTACTAAAATTCTTCTTTTTGACACCTACAAAAACACAAACAAATCAATAACAATCTATCTTAACCATATTAACACCAAATTAAACATAAAATTAACCATGGTTAGATTGACTCACCTAAAATAACTAATTTAAAATAATTAAATAAAACTTATTAATTTTTATGCATTACTACAAGAACTAAGCTAAATTACTATCAAAATTAAACTCAAATAACTCTATATCATAAAGTTATCAAGTCCATTGTTTTCATAAATGAGAAGAGTCTCGTAACAACTAGCTCAACATTGAATGTGGTGGAATAGGTGTGCTAGGTTAAGTAGTAGATGGGCCACTATGGTACGCACTCGACTCACCCTCATTCCCCTCCTCATCAAATACTGAATTATCAATTGCCTCTTCCTAACCCAACTGTTGTTTTTGAACTCAAAACCTAGCTTTTTAATATTATGCTCATTTATAGGATTAAACAAAGCATGGTTTTTGGACGGATCACAATGGGTGTCAACTTTGAAGTAGTCTATGATCTCACTGATCAACATGCCGTAAAGCAAGTTTTTAATGTCCCCTTGAATGGTGCGGAGTATGTCATCCATGATGAGTATATCAAGGTCAATACGACGATTTAGTTTGATGTTAAATAAGAACCAAAAGTCCTCTGTGGTGATAGTTAAGTAGCTAGAGGCGCGAGGACAAATAATATGAGTGATGATCAGGTGCAAGACTCGGTCAAAGAAACATAACCTTGTGCAACTAGAATTACCTCTGCCATTTGGTGGAAGGTAGATAAACGCCGATCAAAGGTCACCATTATCAAAGACATAACGAAGATCTTCTCTGATGGAAGTAAGGTGAATGACTCGTTCTATCAACTCATGAGTAACAAACAAGGATCCGTTGTCCCAAGCAATAGATAAATTAAATATAAGTCAGGCCAAATAGACACTAAAAGTCTTCTTGTACAATATCTACATATCAACACATATAGATTCTTGACTCTTGCCAATTCGCTCTCAAAGGTTACTCAAGGCTCTTTTGGTTACTATTTGGTGTCTTTTCTTACAAAAATCATGAATCAAAGCCTCGGATCACCAAGCACATCACCCTCTCATCAACCTTTTTCTCCTATAATTCATAATCTTATTATTTGTCTACCCTTTCATACACCCCTTATTCCTGAATTATGCTAGTAGACAAGTATATTAGTGTTTTGAAGATATTACAATAAGCCAAAAACTGGAACCTAGAAGACAGACAAATCACACCTTGGACCCTTTGAACTGATGCATCTGGTTGGTATAGACGTGTAAGGTTTCTTCTTGTTGGAGAGAGATAAAAAAAATAATAACATTTAAGAGGAAGTTGGAGCGAAAAGAGTTTGTTTTTATATTTATTATATTCTTTTAAAAAAATTATTAATGTTTTTCAAGTTACTACAAATTTTAAATTTACTTTTATTATGAATTGACATCACCTGACAATTTGACAGTATATAAATATTATACGATATTAATGTACTTGAATATTTGATTTATTGATTGGTGCTTAATCTTCTATTTAAAAAGTATAGTTCAAATCTCCTTCTAAATCAAAAAG